GTATTGACCTATCTATCTTCGATTGTTCTCGCTCCTTAATAATGCTTAACTTCGGTGGTCGTAAGGGAACCGGTGTTTTCTACATGATATGGCCGTAAGCCTTGTCGATCTGAGTAACCTACAAAAAAATTTCAAATTGAACTCTTTCTATAATCGCCACCATTAAATTGTTCACTTTCCGCTGACCGTGTGCGGGGTTTCTAATCTAGTTAGCATTTTGTACTGATTAGTTATTGCTCACCCTGTTCACACTGAGTCTAAATCTCCCCTGTAACAGATTTATATTGAGTAGTATTAATAAGAACGAGACGTGATAAAGATTAAGCTCTCGGAGAGACGTGAACTCTGATCCCTTTTTGCGGTAATAGCTCCTCTAACCAAGTGAGCTATGAAAACCTTACGCCTGGAAGAAGATCCAATCTAACCACATATATTCTTTATTTTCTTTGAAAAAATCGCCATATTGAATACTATTCTTTTATTTTTTTTTACATACAGTAGGAATATTGTCTTGGTATTTTGTTAGAGAAAGTATTGACCGTTGTAATTCATTTTTGCCTACATTTTTTAACTTGTTTTATTTCTGCAAGTAGTATTCTTAGCAGCAATATTAACTCGATTTTTTTATTAGATAAACTATTGTCAACTATCGCTCATTCTTTTGTCGTATTTCTTTCATCTTAATTTCCGTTGCTTTTTATATCTACTCTCCATTAGTCAACGTCCATCAGTAAAGTAAACGGCGCAGAATAATAACAATTTTTCGACAAGAGGAAATAGAGATATGAAATCGAATCTCTCCGTGTGTTTATTTTTGTGTTCAATCCAGAATGTTTATTAACGGTTGTTGACTGACAGTCTGACTAGTTGTGATGAAAAGTGGCTAAAATTAGTAGGAAAGGAACGTCACCTAAAATGTAATAATGGCTGACAAGTGCTTCATCTAATAATAATCGTTGCGCTTTCTTGGGCTAACATTCTCGGCTGACATGAAGTAGAGAGGATTATACTGAATCCATTGCTAGGACTGTTGCTGAGTAAGATGCTGTATCACGCTATCTTATATATTTATAACTCTACCTTTGGTTCATGATTTGAATATTGTTGTCACATATGAGGGCCTTTTAAAAAGTTCTAAGCCTTACCCAGAAGGAGTTGGAGAAACAAAACAGTTTTACACTATTTTTCAATAGAGTCCCCACTTGACATCGATAAACTTGGTCCAGTGATGCTTAAGTACTGCAATCCTATCACGGAAGAAGATGACGTCCTGGTGGTCCAAAAACTCCCTCACAGCACATACGATCTCATCATTGTTTCCACAATGGCAATCTCGGATGTGCAATTGGAACATACACCATAATACCGCGTTTTCAAAGGGGACCTTATAACACAAAATTATGGTTTACCTTTCTCTAGATGGACTGCATTCCTGGACTGTCGAGTTCCATCTACTCGAACTATCTTTTATTTAGCAAAATGAAATACATTTGGCACAAGGCCGAACGGATAAGGATAGAAGGTGGTCATCCTGTTTCTAGATAGTTCGATTCACGACCCCATCCATTCTAACAATTGACACAAGCCCCATAAGAACTCACCCTTTATCATGAGTTTCTAACATACACTAAAATACCGCGTTTTCATAAGGGACCTTATAACACATCTTGCACGTATGATATATGCTGATTTTTTTAAGCGTAGCTTATATGTGGCACAAATTGGAAAATCTGATACTCACAAGGCGAAGAGAGGGAAAGAAGGACAAGGAAAAGCAAAGCGTGTCATACGTAGCGGGCCTAAGCAAGTGGATGACAGAACAGGATCTGGGAGGAGGGAGCAAAATGACAAAGCTTATTGAGGACTACAATGGATAGGAGGAAGCAGAGAGCCACGATCGCCTACGTCCTGAAGGGACACGGCACATAAAAGAAGAGTTTTCTGTCTGGATTTACTTCTATAACCTTTTCCGAAGGTAGCAGATGTTTAAATTTACGGTTTACCTTTCTCTAGATGGACTGTCGAGTTCCATCTACTCGAACTCTCTTTTATTTAGCAAAATGAAATACATTTGGCACAAGGCAAAAGGTATAAGGATAGAAGGTGGTCATCCTGATTCACGACCCCATCCATTCTAACAATTGACACAAGCCCCAAAAGAACTCACTCTTTATCATCAGCTTTGAACATACACCAAAATACTGTGTTTTCACAGGGGACCAAATAATACACTTATGATATATGTACAATTATTTTGTTTTTTGCAAAATTATATAAAAGGAGGTGGGGGTAAACCCATTAAATCGAATTTAAGGTTCATCTAAACAATCGTTCATAGCTATCTTAACCTGTCTCTATCTATCTATCTATCTATCTATCTATCTATCTATCTATCTATCTCATTCTGTTTCTAACTCATTCTCTCATTCTCTTTCTTTCTTTCTTTCTTTCTTTCTTTCTTTCTTTCTTTCTGTCTGTCTGCCTGCCTGTCTGTCTAGTTGTCATTCGTTTATCTCGTGAGATAAAGGTAGCGCCTTGTTTGGTCAAATTTAAATTCTTTATTGGTGATACCGGAGTGGCCGCTTCAGGGCGCAGGCCTGGGCCATGGTATATAGAGGCCGTGCGCTGCCCAGACTACATGCCCCACCCCTTTCAGCTGTACCGATAAGATCCAATGGCATACAGGGCATTACATTTGGAGCCGTTTTGGCTGCGTGAATAACCGAAAATTTGTCATTGTTGACAGCCAACTGCCTTCGAGGCTCCACCTTGGTTTTTTTCTGTTTGGATATACTTCCGTAGCCTATTCCGTGTTTTGTATATTACCGTAAGAATTCGGGCTTTTAAAATCCGGGTTTTTTTCCTCCTAGAATGACTGCTTTACTGGTCTGTCGAGCTCTATCTACCGAAGCAGCTGTTTATGAGGCGCCAGCTGTCCGCCTCCGCCTATCGTCCGGCTTGGAACTGGCCCTAGTTGTCAGAAGCTACTTGAAAGCATTTTTATAGACAGTTGGAGTTTGTCCCCCACAATCACCCCCGGGTCTTTAACAACCTTTGGAACATATATAATGTACGTATATCAGAAGTATATACATTACACGTTTTAGAAGCTCCCCACAAAAGTAACGGTTTTTCAATATATAAACATTAGATAAAGAAAAACGCAAGAAAGTAAAACAAATTATGAAATAATCGTACATCAATTAACAAACAGTAATATCGAAAAGTTTCTTAATTTTGGCAAAAAAATGATGGCAGAAAGAAATATGAAAATATGAATCGGGATTTAGGCCTAAAATACTCGGAGATTTTGAGGTCATTATTTATAACATGCAATAAAATCATTTATCCTGCATTTTTGACAATACTAAAACCTAATCTATCAATTGATAAAAAAATGAACAAGAGTAGAAAATGCAAAGTTAATAAATTTAGGAAAATAAAAACAGGAAGTAAAAATAAGACAAACGATCTTCAGATTAACTGTACAAAAAACTAATAAATACTAATATAGAAAAACCCGATAATTGTGAGAAAAGCTGAAAGAAATAAGCAATACATATAAAACCTCAAATAAATAATCACGACATCTTACTTATTATAAAACGCAGATTTGTGATTGTGTGTGTGTGTGTGTGTGTGTGTGTGTGTGTGTGTGTGTGTTTATATATTGGATCGGGTTTTCCTACATTTTTTTCAACCGATTTCAACAAAACTTCACAGGACTGCATAAAATTACGTTGCGGTGGTTCTAACAGGGCCCAAAAATTGAAAAAAAACACAATTGTTTTTGCATGAAATCAATTTGAAAACACGATTAAGAGGCATCATGAGAATGGAAGTGGGACAACTCATATCGAGTTATACTTATTATAAAAACCCAGGTTGTTTGTGTGTGTCTGTTCGTTTATATATGGGATCGGATTTCCTACATTTTTAAACCGATTTCAACAAAACTTCACTTTTTTTTTTTTTTGGTAGGTAGTGTTTCTTATTGTCTTGCACACTTTTTTCTTTATTTTTACATTCAGAATACTTTAAAAATTCCATTTACAAGACAATTGTTTATAATAAAATTCTATTCAATCGGTAGATCATAACGATTGAAAACAATGTTTTTGTCTGAGTTTGGGTTTGACCAATTCGTAAAAAACAAAACAAAAACAAAACTAATTAAGACATGCGTGTCCGTCAACCTTAAACAATAATCTTTGTCAATTTTATTTTTCAGTCTTTATGATGGTCGATACTTGATCTATCTCTTACTGTTACATCCCCGGGCAACGCTGGGCTCTACTGCTAGTAAGAAATAAATGGAATAAAGGAAATAATAATTGCTAATTATATTAAATTACTATATTACTTTTAAGGAATATTTACGTTTTTTAAGTTAAACTTAAAATCCCTTAATTTTTTTTTTTTTTTTTTGAACTTCGAAAAACGAATCGTCTCTCCATTAGTTCAGAACGCCGTTTTCTTTATAAATGTCATAATTGTATCAGGAATATTATGACTTTTATTCCTCCATACTGGTTCTTTCCCATAGACACAATATCCCAAGACTATCCCTCTTCTATCGCAATTTCCACGTCAAATATTCTGATGAGTTACACTCTTCAATTCCATCAGTTCAGATATTTATAGCTAGGACTATCCAGGCTCAGTCCACAGTATCAAATTCCCAAAAGTTGCCCCGTATTTCAAATGTAAGAACCAAATTCCACTCAGATAGCCTTTTCAAAGAATTGCTAATTTGTGAAGGAGGCTCCTACGTGGATACTCCTCTGAACGATACAATCTCTTTTCAAGTCAAGTATCAATCCTTATCTATCCTTCTTATCCTCAGAATCGCCACTTCCTTCTGCCTTCTGTTATACGCCTCATTCAGTAAAACCCTACCTTCAGTGTCTCTTGAGCCTTGTATTGGGTAAACTTTAGTAAAAAAATCCTTTTAACAATAACCGTCTGACTTGAGTGACTGAGAAACTTTTTATTAGGTGAGCGTTAGAAAAAAAAGTTATCGAATCTCAAAGGGCTGCCACAAACGAATTCGCGGTAGGACATAAAGTTAATTGCAAAAGCAAAGGGAAATTCATATG